TGACTAACCATAACTTCCTGTTTCAAGTATGTTGGATCGTCCATCGAGAGCGATATCACAGAAGAAATCTGGACAAGTTCTGCTAGGTCATGGATTTCAACTTCGCGTAGTTTCGTTATAATCACCTGCTTAATCTGAAAAAATAGCACAACTTGAATTTATAAGGCTTTACTTTCAGTGCACGTAAATAATTGATTTCTGGTGTAATTGAAAAGAAAGAAGCGTGTTTAAAAGTGATTCCTGCCTGGCTTGTATCCTCTTTGCTAACAATCGGGCTCTCTTGTAGTTCCAAGGATTTTAATACACCAATAGCCAACTGAGTGGCTCGTTTCAGATCTCCTCTGTCAATTTGCGCCGAAAAAGGACCTTCCAAAAGACGAAGTGTTTTAACAGAGGCCTCTTGAGTGCTTATTGAAGGCCAAGGAAAAACCTGCAAGTCAAAGAAAAGCAGCTCTGTTCTAATTCATGCCTAGTTAGTGTCAGAGAGAGAGAGGGAGACACTTTCTACTGTGTTGTAAGGTGGAGTGAGTTTTGAACTTCGCCTTGCCTTTGTTACAGAAGAACCTCGTTAATAAAAGCACCGAAGGCCGTAGGGATAACTATGAGAGAGCAATGCTCTATTATAGGAAATTTTAGTGGCTCGTTAAAAAGCCTCTGTGGGCTTCGATATCCCTGACAAAAAGCTCTAATGGCAGGTCAGTCTACAGTTTAATAGAAATCAGGTTTGTATTCGCACTTATCCTACTTTTACTCAACATTGTTACATGTATGCTTTCCCATTGTAGACAGTATCCCAAACATCACAAACCTGGACGTCTAACGAAGTGTTTTCCCTAGAACCAGTAAGGCTCGTTGCACCGATATGGATTGTTAGAGAGTTATTTTTCAAAGGATCACCCGGTGGTAACACAACTTCTGCGTGAGAAGAGTATCCGTGCCACAAAATGGTAGTTAGTCCTTCTGCTAAGGGAAGCATGTAATCGTAAAGAAGCGGCGTTTTTAGATCG